ACAGGATTTTCCATAATGATGAAGCTGTTGTCATCAAGATTCCCTCAGAGTGAGTTGCCAAAATCATATGATGAGGCCAAGAAATATCTTGGAGAATTGGGCCTTGGTTACGAAAACATCCATGTGTGCAAGAACAATTGTGTGTTGTTTCGGAAGAGGTATGAAAAAGAGAATGTGTGCCCAGTATGCAAGACGTCTAGATGGCAAGATGAAACTGGGAACAAGAAGGTTCCACACAAGGTATTGAGGCATTTTCCACTTTTGCCAAGGTTGAAAAGAATTTTTGCTTCAAAGCGAACTTCTGAGGAAACACAATGGCACAAGAAAAAGAGGACGCCAGTCGACAATGTAATGAGCCATCCAGCTGATGGAGAAGCATGGAAGGACTTCGACACGAGGGAACCATCCTTTGTAGATGATCCGAGGAACCTGAGGCTTGCCTTAGCTACCGATGGATTCAATCCATTTGGCAACATGAGTACGCAGTACAGCATGTGGCCAGTGCTTCTGACACCACTGAATCTCCCACCATGGGAATGCGTGAATCCAGCAAACTGCTTTATGTCTTTACTCATCCCAGGTCCAAAATCTCCATGAAAGGATTTTGATTTGTTCCTTGAGCCCCTAATTGAAGAATTGCTCGATCTATGGAAGGGTGTCAGTACCTACGATGCATGCACTGGTCAGAAGTTTAACCTTCGTGCTGCCGTGTTGTGGTGTATACATGATTTTCCAGCGTTGAGCACGTTATCAGGGCGAACAACAAAAGGGTATTATGCATGTATTCATTGTGATAAGGATCCGTTGTCTCGGGCAATAAGGAATAAGATATGTTACATTGGACATCATCGTTACCTTCCAAGGACACATGCATGGCGGAGAAGCTTGGCTTTCGATGGTAAGCGTGAAAACAAAGAGCAACCAGGCAAGTTCACTTTGGAGGAGGTCCTAGAGGAGCTAGAGAAGGTGAAAGATGTCAGGCTAGGGAAGCATCATGAAATTATTGGAAATAAAAGGAAGCGCAATGAGGGTCCAAAGATTTATAGCCGCAAAGTTGGGTTGTGGAGATTGCCATATTGGAAACATTTAAAGCTTCCACATAATCTCGATGTCATGCACATAGAGAAAAACATATGTGAAAACATTCTTGGCACATTACTCAATGTACAGGGCAAGACCAAGGACACAACCAATGCTAGGCTAGATTTGCATGATATGGGCATAAGACCTGAATTGCACTTACAGCAGCATGGCAACTCAGTCATTGCTCCACCTGCTCCATATGTCTTGGGGAAGGATCAGAAAACCGAGTTATGCAAGTTTCTCAAAGGTATCAAGTTTCCTGATGGATATGCGGCTAACCTAGCAAGATACATAAGTGAAGATGGTTCAAAGGTGCAGGGAAAGCTTAAAACACATTCTTGCCACATACTCCTGCAAAGAATCATACCTGCTGGCCTAAGAGGACTGGTGAGGAAGGATGTATATGAAGCAGTTGCAGAGCTCGAGACCTTCTTCAGGGAACTATGCAGTAGAAATCTAAGGATTGATGTTGTCAAACGGCTAAAAGAAGAAATTCCATTGATCCTATGCAAGCTTGAGAAAATCTTTCCACCTGCCTTCTTTGATGTCATGGTGCACTTGGCCGTCCATCTTCCTGATGAGGCACTGCTTAGAGGACCTGTTCAGTACGGATGGATGTACCCAATAGAAAGGCGGCTAGGCACTTTGAAGAATTTTGTAAGGAACAGGGCGAGGCCGGAAGGATCAATTGCTGAGGCATATATGGCAAGTGACACATTGACTTTTTGTTCTAGGTATATGGAGGATATTGACAATAGATTTAACCATCACGATGATAATGATGGAGAGATGCCATTGCCTGATGACGTCTTTGTTTTTAAGCATGGTGTTACTCTTGTTGGATCTAATAGGAGCCAGTACATTGATGATGATGTCCTCAATAAGTTAGTTTGGTATGTGCTAAATAATTGTGAAGAAGCTGAGGAATATTTGGAGTAAGTATCTATTATATGTTTTGGGGATTAGTTTTTGTTTAATTTCTAAATTTTCAAATTATTCTTATGACTTAGCTTTGCCATGCAGCTTGTACAGGGACGATCTTGTGCAGCAAGGTGCGCTTGATGTTGATAAAATGGTTGAACAAGGATTTGCAAAGTGGTTTAGGTGCCATGTAAGTCAGTACACATTGTGTTTCTAGGTTTAGTAAATGCATTAGTATCCATATGTAATTGGTTAACTGAGTGCTTTTGTTGCAACAGATTGAGAACAAACATAAGGAGCATCCAGAATCGGTTAGCGAAGGACTGTGGGCACTGTCATGTGGCCCAGATCTGCGAGTTAAGACTTGTGCATCTTGCATAGTTAATGGAGTGCGGTATAGCACTGTGGATCGTGAGAAGTTCTTTCTGACACAAAATAGTGGTGTAATGACTGAAGGTTCATATGATGGGAACGGCATAGATTTTTATGGAGTCCTTAAAGAGGTAATTGAGTTGCAATATAACTCAAATCTTCAAGTCCGTCGGACGGTGGTTCTATTTCGATGCGATTGGTTCAAGCAAGAAGGCAAGACGACAGGCCTTCGAGATGATGGACATTTCAAATCCATTAATGTGCAGTCATTATGGTACAAGACTGATCCTTTCATCTTAGCAACTCAATCAAAAAAGATATTTTACATGCAAGACACATCTTTAGGTAAAGATTGGCGAGTTGTGCAGAAATTTGAACATAGGAATATTTATGATGTCGCGGAAAAAGATGAGGACAGTCATGATGTGCATCAGGATGATTATTGTTCTGATACTGAGCATATAGTGCAAGCAGGGGCTGATAATGAGGTTACTCAGAATATTCAAGGTGGAGAAGCCACTATAATTGAAGGAAATTTACAAGACCTTATAAGCGACAAGAAGCAACGTATTATTCGTGAAGATAGTGAGGATGAGGAGGAAGATGAGACAAGATCTTGCGATCTCAGTAGTGATGGTGGCAATGATAACAATGATGACATGTCCCTAGACGATGAAGATGATGATTTCTAGTATGGACCAGTGTCATGTCCCTAGACTGCACTATTGTTTTTGTTTTCCCAACATTTTTTTATTTATTCTTTTTTTGGTATCTCTATTTTCATTTAGACATGCCTGTGATGGCATTCAACTGTGTGTCATGTAAATGCCTGTGATGACATTTAACTGTGCTTCCTCTAATTATATTCAGATCAGGCCTAAAAGCAACAAAATGCTTCCCAAATGTTACATTGAAGGATACTACAGAGCTTAGTCTGTTCCTTGCAACCAAACATGTGCTGCGTTACAGCTTAGTCGAGCACATCTGTTGTATCCTAACCAACCAATCCTAAAAACCACAGAGCTTGACATAATAACACATTCAAATTCAGATTCAAACTCAAACACACATTCAGATTTGGACTCACATTCAGATTCAGAATCAAACTCATACACATTCACATTTGGATTGGAAACTCAATTCCATTGATCAAAGTTACAATTTACATAATTTACAGCAGTGGAAACTCAATTTACATAATCACGGTTACAATTTACAATTCTAATTTGGCTTCATGCTTTCGGCTTCGGCTTAGGTATCACTTCCTCATCCAGTAATCTAAACTTGAATCCTTCATTGTTCTTGCAGCGCACGTTCCATCATGACTGTTCTTGCAGTACCCCACAAAGTAGATCTCCCACGTCAGGCATTCAACAATGGGATTCAACAAATGGAATGGACATCTTGCAGCATCAATGTCAATGCAATGATATTCAACAAATGGAACGGTATTCAACAAATGGACTTCTTCCGGTTCCAAGATAAAATATTGTCTTAATACCTTTTGTTTCTGACAAAGCATTACACTGAAGAATCTATTACGATGAACTGCCGTTCATGAGACCACAGTTGATGACAATAAGGTTAGATGATTTTATTAAATATCATGGCGTGACCTTAGGAATTACTAGATCAAGAATGTGGTAAAGGCTAAATAGTTACTGCACAATGGTTCAGATATTAGAAAAATGATATAAAACCACTTTACAAAAATTTTGGAGGTTACCAGTTCAACTATGAAACATAAACTTCAATGTTTAAAACTGATGCAATACATCATTTTGCACAGCTGCCCATGTGAAAATTTGAAATTGTGCTGGTACCTGTAATTACAAATTTTTACTTTGAAGCATAAAAGTTCAAATTCACAATATCTTTTCTAGGATCCACTGGCATGTTTTTTCATAACATATAAGAATAAGATCGTTACAAAATTTTATTGCAGGCAAAAAAGAATAATTCTGCAGGAGCAACTACATTTGAGTATAGCAGAGGATCTCACTGATCTATATGCAAAGTACTAGCTGCAAGATTAAGTGACTCACCTTATTCTTAGCAGTGACAGTGACATGAAACTATGACAGTAATACCTAGGAAACATGCCGCTGTAAATGTAATTGACAAGCTGTTGATATGGGGGTTAATTAGCTCCACAGATGCAGCGCATGTGGAAGTACAGCTACCTCGCAGGATTACGGATTACATTTTTCTTGTGTTCCTTGGACATGCTGGGGTTTGGGTTGATTTGGAAACAAAAGATTGGCCAGGTGGGTAGCTGATGCTGCATTGTTCAATATTTATGTTACAGGAATTAAAGCTTCTCAAAATTTTAAACCTCATTTGCTTTGACACAGATAAAAGAAACTCTGTAACCTAGCACAACCCAGAGACTTAGATGGAGGCATTGTAATAACAGTTCCAATATGAAGAGAAAATTGTACTGCTAATGCTAACAAATATGTAGTAAGAACCAGTTCAATAGGATAGATATTAGAATTCTAGAACAAATTACATCGACATAAATAAAGCATAGGAGCAACCGATATGATAGGGGATAGTAATAAACTTTACCAAACCAAGTTTCCACCTTCCTCTTAAGTTACCCTAACCAGTTTCACACTAGACTAAACACCTGAGCCAAGTGCCATATCATTATCATTGCCAATCAAAAAGGTAGGCCACCCCATGATGTACGGATACACAATGTGGTCAAATGTCCTTTTAAACAGCTTCTCCAGTTTCCTTGTTTCCAGGCAGAAGGAAAGGAACCAAGAAGGCAAAATATCTTCTCCATATATCGACATAAACACAATGCCATCAAGAAATGCGAACACTTGGAGCCCGTGCTCACAAAGTTCATCTTCTGGGATCTCGGTAGCCTGAAGAATCTCTCCTTCCAACGGTATCACATTGTGGAGCATCCACTCCTCAGCACCGCTAGCATCTACTCTCCGGAACCAAGTGTATAGTGTAAATCCAGCTACGGACACGATGCAGAGCTTCCCAACCTTGGTCCCCCCGAGATTGTAGAGATAGCCCTGCCCTTTCAAGTGCTCCAGCAGATCGATACAGGAGAATTGCCGCGTTGCCGTGTCCATGACCACAATGTAGGCATGTTCGGCGTGTGCCCAGTACAGATTCCCGTTCACCTGTGTGCCACTGAGAAGCCAGTGCTTCTTGCCTGACGGCTGTGCTGGGGCGGTCTCCGACCAGGGGAGAATTTGCCACTCCCTAGTGTCCGATGAGAAGACAGAAGCGCGCACCCTCGACTTGTCGTGGCAGGAGGCGACCACGCGGAACGAGTCCGGGCTCTGGTCGGAGTAGAGCAGGAAGAAACCCAGGTAGTAGAAGAAGAAGCCGAGGAGAGGGGGCTGGTGTAGGGCGCGGAAGCGGCGGCGGAAGGCGGGGGAGGAGCGGACTGCGGCGAGAAAGCCGCGGCAGGTGAGGGCGGCGCGGACGAGGCTCGGGAGCTCAACCGCTATGGACCGGCAAGCTCAACCGCTATGGAGGAGCGACGGCGGCGCCGCTATGGAGAATCGAGGGAGTCAGTCACGGCGGCGGAGAAGCGACTAACGTGGGGGTTTCGATGGGCCGGCCTGCAGGCCTGTTCATTTGGTCACTCTTAGGTGGACAGTTTAAGTAAGACTGCAGTCGAGAACTAACGAAAACACTTGAGTAGCGCATTGGTAAGGCACTTTGAGTTTCTCCCTGTGCTCCTGGGTTCGAACCCAATGGGAGCCAATTTTTTTTGTTTTTCCTACATTTGTTGTGTTTATTATTTTTCTATGTCTCTATGTTTATTTTTTTGCCAGATTTTTAATTAATTATTAATATATTATTGCTTAATGATTTACCTCATTGATTTTCAAACATCTTATTAATTTTTTAGATATTATTGTACTTATTTGTTGAATGACTAAAGGATAAAAGCTTTAAGCTACCTTGTGACTAAGTGAGAGTTGTTCATGCATGTACAAGATGTATAGTACCATTTTGTCGAAATCATTTGAAACTTTAATGGGATGTTTATGGAGCCAAACAATGATGCTGTGTGCATCTGTGCAATTTTTTGACCAAGTTTACCTATTATTGTAATTTTTTGTAGGATCAGTGAAGGATAAATGTTAAAATACCCTAACCTAGCCATTTCGTCATAGAAGGAACGCACATCTATGACGAAAATATACGTTTCGTCACGTTATCCAAAATATGACGCTCATTCAATGACGAAATCGATTTCGTCACAATTTCGTCATAAAATAATATATGTGACGATTTTGGTGTCTCCAGTGACGAAAGGAAAGCGTCATTGATGAACACATCCCTAGTAGTGAATGTCGGCTCCATCGTGATCTTCTGGTACGGCCGATGTCGGTGCCTACCATACTGTAGGATAAATGTCGGCGCCCATAACACTGTTGGTGTTCTGACATGTATGGAAGGATATAAAGTACCCTTCTAACATGACCTGACAGTACTGTCCTGCAGGTGTGCAGGGTACGGTCCTTGATATTACGGTTGACTGGAGCGCCCTGCCTTACTTGCCCTGTCTGTTTCCTGGGTCTTCACCGAGCGGGCGTCCCCGGTCGGTTGTTCCCCAGTCGGCTCCGGCCTCCCAGTCGGAGAAGAGCTATAAGCAGAGGTTCGATTTACTTCCGGTCAGAGAAATGAGTCGAAGTCGTAGGCGAGCGTCGTTCCTTCTCGGCCAGGCCTTCCGGTTGGAGAGGCGGGCCGGAGTCGGAAGCGAGCGGCGTTCCTTCTCAGCCAGGCCTTCCGGTCGGAGAGGCGGGCCGAAGTCGGAAGTGAGTGCCGGAGTTGGAGGCGAGCCAGCCAGGACTTTCGGTCGGAGAGGCAGGCCGGAGTCGGAGGCGAGCGTCGTTCCTCCTTGGCTAGGCCTCCCGATCGGAGAGGCGGCCTGAAGTCGGAAGCGACCGTCAGTCCTCTTCTTGGCTAGGACTTCTGGTCGGAGATCGCCCTCCTGGCCTGTCGTTAGGTTTTTGGGCCAGCCCAGGAGTTGCGTGTCGTTCGCAACGTCGTCTGCTGGGCCGAGCTTCTACTAGAAAGAAGGTCCATGAGGGACCCTGGGTTTATGAACCCGACAGGAGCCCCCGAGCCCCCGGGCGATTCGGGTAGAATCATCTAGGGGTTTTTTATCTTGATGGCGGGTGCGCGTAAGCGCACCCGCGGGTGTAGCCCCCGGGGTGATTCGGGTAGAATCGTCCGGGGGGGTTTTTCGTGTTGCCAGCGGGGGAATTTTTTGTTTCGACAGCGGGTGCGTGCGAGCGCACCCACGGGTGTAGCCCCCGAGCCCCCGGGCGATTTGGGTAGAATCGTCTAGGGTTTTTTGTCTTGACGGCGGGTGCGCGCGAGCGCACCCATGGGTGTAGCCCCCGAGCCATTGGGTGATTCGGGTATAATCGTCCTGGGGTTTTTTCGTGTTCCAGCGGGGGAAGTTTTTGTTTCGACGGCGGGTGCGCGCGAGCCCCGAGGCGTTTCGGGTAGAATCGCCTAGGGGGGGTTTTGTCAACGGGCTTGTGTGTATGCACCTTGGTGGGCGTAGCCGCCTCTTTCTAGTTTCGAACCCATCGTTTCCCGGATCGTGGTCCCAGGTGTTTGGTCGCGGCCGAGGGACTGGGCGAGATGGAGTCATCAACCAGGGCGTCGGGCGCACCGAGGGTTTGGGTGAGTCGGAGTCACGGATCCAGGGATCGGGCGAGTCGAAGTCGCCAGCTAAGGCCTGGCGTCGGATGTGTCGAGGGATTGGGCGAAGTCGAAGTCATGGATCCAGGCGTCGGACGCGCCGAGGGATCGGGTGAGTCGGAGTCATGGATCCTAGCGTCGGACGTGCCGAGGGATCGGGTGAGTCAGAGTCGTGGATCCAGGCGTCGGGCACTAGGCGCAGCCGAGGCGTTGGTCGTCCTGAGCCCCTGAGCCCCATTGGGCTCGGTAGGGGTCAGTTGAGTTTCGTGCTTTACCCCGTCCGCGGTTTCCGCAACCGGAGGGGCTGAGCTAACGTCGCTGCCTCGATGGCTCGAGTGACATGCTCGGTGAGCTCGCTAATGGGTACGTTCGAGTGGAATCAAGGTCCGTTGTTCGTGACGGGGTCGGCATAGCCCTCATGTGGCATTCCACTGCTCCTTCACCCACGTCTCGGTAGATGCCCGGGTCATTCCGGATACTGACCCAGGTGGCCCGCTGGCCTCCCCTTGATGGATATTCTGTGGGCATGGCTCAAGGTTTAGGATCGAACGAGAAGGTTGAGATGACCCTGTTTGCTTTGGAGCAGACTGGGCGAGGGCCACTGGGGCTCATCTGCGTTTTCTCTCCTAGCTCTGTTTGACGCGAGGCGGCCTCCAACCCTTTGTGGGCCAGCCTTCGAACCCCGATTGGTCGTTGCTCATGTTGAATGAGGCAACTGTCGCTTCATGACGCAACACGGAGCGTTGTGATGCATCAATTGCATATGCGATGCTTTGGATGTATGGGATGAATGAATGATTTGTATGAATGAATGTGTGAATGCGTATATGAGAATGGATGAATGAATGATCATGCATCAGGAAAAAATAAAGTAAGAGGGATCGGTAGAGTTACCTTGCCGACCCAAGTGATAGGTTTTGAGGAGTTTTTATCGAATATGTCTGAGGGGGTCCGCGCTCATCGTTCATGACAGAGTCGGTCGTGGCCCGACATGGGGCATTCCTCTGCTCCTTGCTAGTCCCTCGGTATTTGCCTGAGCCGTTCGATCGACTCAGGAAGCCCGTTGGTCTCTCTTTGGCGGAGATCCCATTGTTGGACCTTTCCAAGTCTTGCCTAGGAAGGCGGAGGGCCACCTGCGCGCAGTTGCGCCTTGTTCCCACGCCCAACGTGCATTAGTGGTGGGCCATACCCAGGCCACATCCCGTCTAACCAGGCACCGTCTCATCGGGCGGGGTGCGTCCCATCGGTCTGGGCGCGTCCCGTCGTATCCCATCCGCATTGAATGGGGGAAGGGAGAGGATTTCTCGCCCTAATCCTTTGCCTTTCCTCAACTGCTGTGCCTCCTTGTTAAATAGGGGAAGGGAGGGGGCTTCTGTCCCGTTCCTTCGCCTATTCCCCATCTGCCGCCTCTCCTCCTTCTTCCTTCTCGCCAAGAGCGTTCGTGTGCCGTGGCGGTTCCTAGGAGAAAAAAGGGGAGAGCGAGGGAGAGGAGAAACTCATAGATCCGTTTGTGAATCCATAGCACAATGTCGAGCTGGAGGTCATCCTGCATGAGCGAGTCGGTGCTGGCCGCCTTCACCGAGAATGGGGTGCTGCCACCGAAATGAGGTGGCGCACTGGAGGGCTCCTGCGGGGGAGGATTTCCCGTGACCTCAGGCCGGCAAGGTTGTCTCTTTCCTCGCCTTCTATGAGCATGGGTTAGGATACCCTGCACACTAGTTCCTGCGCGGGCTCCTCAATGAGTGGGGCCTAGAGTTGCAGCACCTCAATCCGACTGGTGTTGCACATCGCCGGATTCATCACCGTGTGCGAGGCCTTCCTTGAGATGGAGCCGAACATGGACTTCTTCCAGCCGAACCTTCATCGGGTGAGCTTTGCCGGAGGGGAAGCCGGCCAGGACCGCGCCGGTTGGTGGCTTTGCCTGCAGAAGAAGCCAAGCTTGTCGGGCTTGTACCCCGCGTACATCCCCTGTGATTCCAATCGGGGGTGGCACGGGGAATGGTTCTACATCAGGAACCCGGCAGAGGTGCCATTCACGCCTTTCACCGGTAGGAGGCCAGAGAGGTAGGAAAGCTGGTCGTGGGGCCACGCCAGCCAGCAGAACAAGAAGCTGGAGATTATCGGGGTGGAGCTCTAGAAGTTGATGCGGCACAACCTCGACGGGTGCCGGTGTTCCACACCTTCTTCCACCACTGGTCACCCCGCTGGCGGAAAGGACGTGGCCGATGTGGATGTATACCGGCCCGACGGACCCCGACCGCACGTCGCCGGAGGAGTTGGCAATGGACGAGGTCTAGAGTCGGCTTGATCGGGTGCTGCAACTGAGGGCCAAAGAGACCCTTGATGGAAAGCCCGAACCTCTTCATGCCATGAAGTTATCCAATCTAGTATGCTCCCC